GAACATCACAATTGCAGGATTGTATCTATAGCAGTGTTTGCCTCTGTTGCCTTTAACTCTTGGATTCCTCTCAGTGCCCCTAGTCCTGCCTCCCCTGCTCTCTGCTCGCTTCCTCGTGCTGTAGATTGCCTGCCCTTCACCCAGGTTAGCGTGTGCCTCTGTCCAGGAGCCCTGTTGGCACTGTGGTTAGACGTTGGCCTGCTGTTTGTAAAACCAGCAATTTAAAACCACCAGCCACTCCGTGGGGAGAAGAGACTTTCTAACAACGTACCGTCTCGGGACCCTCAGGGGCGGTTCTGCTCTGGTCCCCGGGCCCTGGGAGTCAGAACTGATCCAGTGGCAGAGAATTTGCTGTGGGGTTTTATTGTGTGTTTTTAAAGCCCCTTCCCACCTGGTAACTATTAAACAAGATTTATTTCAGTGTGAAAACCTTTCTTGACTTTACAGTGATGTTCTCATACAACTTTTGTCCCTTTGTGACTGACCGATTTCACTCAGCATACTGTCTTCCAGGTTCATCCACGGTATGGGAGTATTTTGCAGATTCACTGTTAATTTTTAATGCTGCATAGTATTTCATTTCAAGAACTTTAGGCATTCTTAACCTTCCACCCGATAGCAGTTTCTCTCTAGCTGTTTGCAACTGCAAGCACCAGATAACAAAACTGCAGCCTTATGGAAGTGGTGTTTCTGAATTTTACCATTGATTTGCCTTTTGGTAGCTTGCTGACTTAAATCAGGCCCTACTATTAAGGTTTATTTTCTTTCCAGAAATGTGTGTGTGTGCGCATGCGCGGGCGCGTACGCACACACATATAAATCTGAGGCTGTTCTTAGAAAAAGGTTCTTAGGATTTGTTATTCAAGTTTCATTAAAAGGAAGTTAAGTTTCATGTAAAAGGAAGACCTTGAAAATTATTCATGAAGGAAAGAATCCTTCATTATAATTATGAAGAATACTTGAAAGAATTATTATATCTATTAGCAGATCATTAGCCTTGTCTTTGAACTCTGCTCTTCAAAACCCCAAGAGCTGTTTTAATAGCGCCGATATCTCCTGGTGTGAACGTCAGAGTCTTGCAGTCGGGTTCTCCTGGCTCCACCTGAACTTAATGGAGGCAGGCGGTGAAAGGTGTGTTCAAATGTGGCTCCGAATGATAACATCATAAAAACATCATAAAGCGTTTACAGTACAGTTGATGTTGCGCCTAGAATAGGAAATGACCCACCACATACTATCAATAAGTATTATCTGGATATTGCCCAAAGTTAGAAGTTCTGTGGGATTAATCCTAATTAAACATTGGGAATTTGGCGTCTGTGTGTGTGCATCAGAACCTGAAAGGAGCAGCCATCAGCGGTCATTGGAATGGGAAGGGTCTGCTTTCTGATTAGAGCCAGTTTTCTACAAGTGTCCTGTGTGCTTTTTTGGTTTTTGCCTGTTAGTGTTTCCTGCCAATTTTTTAAAAAGTAAGACTGTCACATCAGAACCTTTGCCAAAACTGTTGCCTGAAAGGCTTATGTACATGTGTTTGTCTTGGCTTCTGTGGACTCTCAAGCAAGTCCATTGCCATCACTGATGTTTCTCAACCATGACTATTTCCGTGACTAGAAACCATAAGGATTATTCAATACCAACAGGAATTTATATTAAAGGAATAATTCATCTCTGTAAAGAAAGGAATTACGCAAAAGAAAAGTATTCCGCATAGATGCTTTGGGTTGGATCAAGTCAGTTGTAACATCAAAGATGTTACTTTTTTAAGGTAGGGGCAGCTTTTTATAGCAGTGACTTAATTTTTCCCTTTTTCTCCACATTTATGTTTTTCCTACAGTTATATACACACACACAGTTTAAAAACTAAGTGGTTCTGTGAGCGAGGTTTGTTGGGAACACCAATTATCTCGTTCTCCCCGCTCCCCGTCTCAATTTCAGCTCTCCTGAGGCAACACTCTGACCTTTCCGCTGACTGGTTGAGAACAAGATTCTGTGTCTAGTGTGCACGAGTCAGAGCTGACTTGATGGCGTTGAGTTTGACTTCTGACCTTTCAGCCTTTGATGTCACCTGCTCAGGGCCCGCGATGGACAATAAGACTTCTCCTCGGACCTCTGTGCTCACTGCCCATCCCATCCATCCAGGCTCACTGCTGATGAGCTCTCCGGTCATTTCAGAATTCCTACTGTTGGGACTGTGTAAACACTGGACAGCCTAATCAAGAGATGGGTGGTTTTGCAGTTACATTCCCTATACGTCTTGGAATTGTATTTTTCACCCTAAAATAAAATCCACTGCCATTGAGTTGAGCATCCCCCTAGAGGGCAGAGTAAACCCTAAACCTTGCTGGGAGCAGGTCCCTTGTCTTTCCTGGGGGTGGAGTGGCGGCTGCTGGGTTTGAACCACTGAGCTGGGCAGTGAGTTGCCAGTGCTTAACCCACAGTGCCACTGTATCTCCTTGTGCTCCGTTTTGTTTCCACCACTTGAGGCTTTGCCAGGTGCTGAGCCCTCTTTTCAAGATGATTTTCTGGATCAGATGTGATCTCCTCGTGACCTTCCTAAGACGTCTCTCCTGGGGCTTTCTGCCCTGCTCCGTTCTGGACTAGTGACTTTCTCCTCTTGGTAGGTAGCGACCTTCCTGGGTTCTCCGGCACCACTATCCTGGGGATCCCCTCCACCTCACCCCCCAGGTGGATAAAAAATGATAAGCACCTTTGGTTTCCCACAGTTTTCAGATTAGTCAATGTGAGGATATAGTAAAAATGTTTTAAATATGCAAGTTTTTAACCCCAAAAAATCACCCTCTGGATGCTGTTCCGCAGGATCAGAGAAGTTTGCTCCTGGAAAATGAGAGAGGAAACGGAGGAGAGAGAAGGCCGGTCTGCACTAGGCTAACCGCCGCTCCTTCCCCTGGGTCCTCCGCCACACGCTCTCTGAGCCCCGCAGGGACCTCGAGCCTCGTGCACTCGGCATCACCTGCTGTCCAGTGTCTTCCCTTGAGGGGTTTATAGAGACCTTCTCTCCTGGATTTTCAGTCTTAATACTCCCCTCCCACCCATCACCGAATCCCTGATTCTACCGTCTCAACAACCCTTTCCTGAAAAGGAGTTGTCTCCCCTGCTCCTGTGGCCTTCACTCGGGCCTCTCTGTTTTCCTGGTGACCCCGCTGGCCGCCGCCTCCTTGCTTGTGACCAGTATCCCTTATCCACCGTGCCGTGGAGGGCTCGCACAGATTGACCCTCTAGGAGATTCTTCCTAAAGCGCACTGCTGTTTGCCGTCTGGATTCTTGTCCCGAGTGTCTTCCTCCTTCCGACCGGTTCTTTCTTACCTTCAGAATAAAGTGCCTAGTATTTAAATCCTTTATCATCCGGCCTCGCCAAAAAATGCTTTTTCAAATTACAGGTTGGCTTCATCAGACTGGTCCCACACTCACACTCTCCTCCTCCCTTCCTCGCCGTCCTTCTTGCAGCCCGGCTCTCGCAGCCTCCATAGTGGGCCCTCCTGGGGTCTTCCTGGGCTGTCCCGGTAGCACTGTGCGCCCGTTCAGCCTGCATCGGGGGTGCTTTTTGTGTCTGTCTTACTTGTGCTTTTTTTCTTCCTCGTAGATTGCAAGCCAACTCCCTGAGATTTGGACTTAGACCTTGGCTGTCTTGTTTCTTCCTTGGGTCTGTCTCTGTCTCGGGGATTATATTTAATCAGAGAAACCTTATTAAGTTCAGCATTTCGTAGGCTTTTATGTAAAGGCTAATTAGTTTAGGTTCATTCACATCAGCAGCAGGCTGGCTTCTTGTCGAGATGCGTTGGCACAGCGGCTGCGAGCAGCAGGCTCAGATGTAAGGACGGGTAGGGGCCGACGGCCTCGGTGCTTTGTTCTGTTGGACGCTGGGGCTCGAGGAGTGGGCCGGACCTGACGGCACCGCACACACCTTCCTGAGTGTCTCCTGAGTCACAGGTTTCCTGAGGACCCTCTTCTATGTAGAACTCAAAGCCACGCTGACAGCCACTAGGACTTGCTTTCGATAGTGGAGAAACCGTAAAATAGAGGTTGTGTAGTAGAACGACAGTCGTTCACAAATAGGTTCACCTTTCCCGCCCACATTCAAAGCTGTACACTACTTCAGAAGTCCTGGGTGACCTCCTGTCCACAGCTCTGGCCGATCACTGACGCTGCATAGAGTGTAGGATTCTCTCTGTTCAAGGGAACCAAACCGTTGGCAGTACATTTGGAAAACGTTCTGCTCGGGGATACCAACACAGACGGATTCAGTGTCAGTTCTTCCTTAGCTACCCCAGGAGGCTTTACAGCCAGTTTTATTCTAAGTCGCAGTGGCAATGAAATACCCTTGAGGGGAAGGTGGCGGGTGCTGTATCCACCCCGCCTGCCAGCTGGACTCTGACTGCAGCCCCCTGTGGGATGGAGCATGGCCCCGTAGGCTGTCTGAGGTTGCAGTCTTCCTGGGAGCAGACTCCCACCTTCCTCGGGAGGAGTGACTACTTGCCTGGCGGGCTTAAACCACCACCGCCGGATTCCCAGCTGAGCACTTTAACGCAGCACCAGGAACGAAGAACCCTGTATTTCTAACAACTCCTGTGAACTCAAGGGAACGCCCCACACTCCCGCCAGGGGAGTTGTGTGTGCCTTCTCCATGGACATTTCCCTCCGTTGGGGGATATGAAGTAGAAAAGTCACACGTTTTAATGTCATGCTTAAGAGTTGTTTCAAAAACGATTTCCTTGGGAAATGTTTCGTATTCAGCATGTTACAACATCTTTTCTAATGCGTTCAGGTTGAAGTTTCTTGTTCTTAGATCATTGTATATAACGCCGCCGGAGGAATGGAGATCACTCTGCAAAGTAGATGACTAGGAAAGTCCTCGGACTAGTCTTAAAGAAAGCTGGCCACGGTTGACTCTGCAACGCCATCAGAGAGGGACTGTCCTTCGGCCATTTCTTTCTAGTCAGAGGGTCCCTTTTACATGTATGTTAATTTGCTCTGTCTTACAGAACCTGCCAAATATCCTCACTGATGATCGATTCAAAGTGATGTTTGAGAACCCTGATTTCCAAGTAGACGAAGAGAGTGAAGAATTTAGGCTTTTGAATCCGCTTGTTTCGAAAATTGGTGAGAAAAGGAAGAAGAAACTACGGCTGTTAGAGCAGCAGGAGCTCCGTGTACAAGTATGTGCCCCTTGCCCTTCGCCTTTTGCCCTTCGCCCATCCTGCATCTGTCACGGGGAGGGCCTGTCCCAGTGCTCGGGCGGAGTCTGTGTGCCATGTAGCTGAGGACTCTGTCTGACTGGACTCGAGGCCGCGTGCTCATGCGTGAAAGGACCAGCGGGGTGTGGTGGCGGGCGTGGGCTGCCGCTGACTGTCTCTGTGTTCAGGAAGACGAGGACGAGCCGGAAGGAAAGCCCAGTGATGAGGACAGCTCTGGGAGCTCGGATGATGACAAGGACTGGGTGGAAGAGGTCAGGAAGCAGCGCAGACTTCTCAACCAGGAGGAGAGAGTGAAGCGGCAGGAGCAGCTCAGGCAGGACCAGCAGACCGTCCTGAGGCCCCAGTTCTATGAGATCAAAGCGGGGGAAGAGTTCAGAAGCTTCAAAGACTCAGCTACGAAACAGAGACTGATGACGTGAGTAGCGCCACTTTCCATGCCCAGCGGACGTCTCTCGAAGCCCTGGCTCTCTCCCCCCAGGTGGCACACTCCCCAAAGATGACATTTGGAAGAGGTCTGCGTGGGTGGTGGGGCTGGGCGGAGAGGGCAGGGGCGTGTGAGGCAGCAGTGCCAAGGGCTCAGAGGACGGACGCCCAGAGTAACGCCAGAGGGGACCGTGTCGCTGTTAAGTCCTCAACGACTTTCTGAGGAGTCGTTCGTGTGTCCTGGAGTGCTGTGAGCCCCGGCTCTGGGTCAGTACACATGGACACTGACACCCCGCAACACTGTCCCCCTTTTAGTTGTCTGTGTGAACGATCACAGGAAGCTGATCTTGTGAAAAGTGAGAAGGGACCCTAACAGCACACTGGGAGGGCGGCCTTCCCGGCAGAGGCTTGGAGAGAACAGTTGTGGGGTATTAATACAGCTAGCCTCCGGGAAGTTGGTAAGGCGCCCGGGTGGCATAGGGGTTACCCAGTGGGCTGTGCCACTCGGAGAGAGAAAGTCGAGGCTTTCTACTGCTGTCAAGAGTTTCAGTCTCAGGAACTCTCCGGGGCAGTTCTGCCCACCCTACAGGGTCACTGTGAGTCGGCCGGCTCGAGGGCAGGGAGTGTTTGCTCTCAAGCAGTTGGAGGAGAGGAGCTGAGAGGCGTCTAGGAAGGAGGGACCTCCGGCAAGCAGCGGAAAAGCCGTCCACAGTCTTAAAACTGAGATTAATATGACCCGGTCTTAAGTACTTTTATAATACAAGCAGTGCATGTTTATTGTTGAAAATATAGGCATGAAAGCCCCCAGGTTTCAGGAATCTTTTACCTAAAAGAACCCCGTTGTAGAGACTACAGTGGGGGGGG